GGTGGGCCACGCTGTTGGCCCGGCCATCTCGCGTGTGCGCGAAGCCGGCGGGGACAGTCCGGGGACGCGGTCGGTTGATAAACGCAGAGCAGCACCGCGTTGCTCTGACTCCGGGGAAGTTAACAAAATACTGATTGTGGGGAGCGTTTAAAGGGCTACGCGCGGAGAGCGGGTTTTGCAAGCGAAGCCCCCCGTAGGTACACAAAGGTGTAAGTCATGGGGGCGTGATACAGCAGTGCGTCTGCTCGTGGGCTTCCCTGAGTTCGCAGTTTGAAAAACCTCGTGAACTTTGGGGAAAAAAGAGGCGTTTGTTTTTTAACCCAACAGGGGAAAAAAAAATTCGAAAGAGCCTGAAAAAGTTCAATTAGAATAGCAGCCACATTTCAGCAGTTCCCAGATTTTGCAATGTTAAACTGTGAGGGTTTGTGCCAGATTTTAAGGCAAGAACTCTTACTGCCAAATCACAAATTTCTCAAAATGAGGGGTGTTCAACCAGATTGCTGCCAGACCCCATAAACAGGCACTAACAGCAGTGCTATAATTACACCTTATTATCTCCCTGCAGCCTTACCCGATCACTGCCGAATGAAATCTCTTCCCGGCTGTCACTGGCTGGCCTTTTTCTGAGGCTGAACAAGCACACGCTCCATGCCTCAGTTGATCCAACTGTGTAACCCGTCACCCCTCCCGCATTCTCTAGTTGTCGTCGGAGCAGAGAGGTCATCTTCACCCTAGCTTCCCTATGGGACTGAGAGATGAAGATGAAAACAGGTATCAGAGTTACAAGAAAAGTTTCTTTCAAGAAAAAGATCTAGGCCAAGAAACCAAATTTGTAGCTTAACTTGAGCTCCCTGAGGGGATTTAGCAGAGAGGGCTGAAAGCAGTTAAACCAGCTTCCTCACTGTCTTTGTTCTGGGTTCTTTGCATTTTTTTAAATGTTGCATCTTAACAGGATTTGACACGACCTAAACTACTTGTCCACGTCCCTGTGGAGTCTACACAGTGGGCCTTACAACAGAACCAAACAGAAATCTGTGGAGGCCTTGACGTTTGGGAGGACTCTGTAGAAAACTGCTCTATGACCAGGACGGAAAAAGTGAGTTTTTTGTTCATCGTCGTCGTTGTTGGGGGGAGGGAAGAGGGAGAAGAGGTCATGCTTTCTTACTTTTTTTTTAGTTTGTGTTTCCGGAGACTTTTAAGCACAAGAGATTGGCCATGCAAACCACTTCATTGTTTTGGTGAGATCTGGGAGACATTTACTCACGTTTGTCTGAAAGTTTTTTTCAACAGGAAGAAAAGGAAGCGACCGTGCTGGAACCTCTCCAGATAGGTCCTAACCCTTCCAGCCTTCACTCTCCCCCCTGACTCACAATTCTACCCAGCGATCGTGCTGGAATCTCTCCAGATAGGTCCTAACCCTTCCAGCCTTCACTCTCCCCCCTGACTCACAATTCTACCCAGTGACCGTGCTGGAACCTCTCCAGATAGGTCCTAACCCTTCCAGCCTTCACTCTCCCCCCTGACTCACAATTCTACCCAGCTCCTCACCGGCCGCAGATTGAGGGTCACTCATTCACAAATGACTTGGAGCCTCCTTCTGAATGTCAGTTTCCTCATAAAGGCAAGCCTCACCGCCAGTGCTCAAGGAATCCAGGCTTGTCAAGGTGCGGGCTTAAACCCGAGTGTCCGAAATAGCCTCTTCTCTGCTTCACCTTTACATTCGCTCGCAAGGCGCGGATGGTCCTCACAGCTGCTCTTTACTGTGTGTGAGCCAGCCCTGGGCTGAGCCCTTTATGAAGACCTCCTCCTAACAGGCTTCGGAAGTGGGTGCAGTTGTTACCGCTAGCTAACAGGTGAGGACTTCGCACAGATTTAAGGAGCTGGCCCGACATCCCCCATGCTGGAAGCAACAGAGCTAGGATTTGAACCCAGGGCTTTTCCTGGGTGAACACGTCTCGTCGCTCAAGCTGTCAGTTCAGCTGTCCATAGAACGAAGAGTCGTCATTAGCTCCCCACACCGTGCAGCCAGAATATGCCCGACGTGGTCGAGTCCTGGCCTTCTTACCTTCGGAACTCCAGCAAAGTGAGATCTGTTGATATCTGCTTAGGGAAAGCATTCCCAAATCAGATGACTGTCTTGGAAACCAGCCTCAGGCTGTCAGCATATGCATCGTGGGCGCTAACCAGGACAGACACATCCAATCTCGCTGGGTAATAATGTTTCAGAACATGCCTCTTTCTCGTTGTGAGGAAGCAAGATGGTCACAGCGTGATTTGGATTCTCTGATGTTGGACAAGGTGAAAATCAGGAGGGCAGTGGGAAGAGAGGAGGCGAGGGAAGTGGAGAGAATAAACAGTGTGTGCAGGGAGGTCAGGACTGCCTGCGGAGTGAGGGTCCGGGTCGGGCAGTGTATGGCTGTTATGACGGGACTAGAGAGGGCATGAGCGTGAGAGCTGGCTGGCCGGCGGCGTGGCTGAGATGGTTGGATTCCATTTGGCCGGCTTCATCCTAACAGCCCCCGACCCACTTGAAAAACTTACTGATTGGGGCTAGCAGGTGGCATGGTGATTAAGGCCCAGGACTCCTACATGGCAGACTGTGGTTCAAGTCCTGCACCAGGTAGATTGACACTCACACCAGGCACGTGTGTGTATGTCTGAAACCCCAAGAGCAAACTGGAGAAGGGATTGTGGCACAGCCATCACCCTGGGGGAGGAGGATTTCTCACTTTCCTTCTCTGTCTGTCTCAGCCTGATGAGCACATGCGGCCTATGGCAAAAACTTTAAAAAAAAAAAAAAAAAAAAAAAAGCTGGACCCACATGCCACACCCACATTAAGATGCCACTATCCCTGGGGCAGTGACTTCTCACAGTCCGCGCTGCACACACACATACACACACACACACCGCCTCTTGCAGTGAGTGCACATGCCCTATAGCAAAAACTAAAAAACAGAAAAAACATGGTAACCAAGTATATGCCATGCACGGTGGTGGGAGTCAGGTTCATTTTTTTCCTCCATATGAAGTTTCAGATAAATACAATTTTAAAATAATAAATAGACAATAAGACAACATCTGGAACAAGGAAAGAAAAAGCTTCACTTTATTTTGTGTTATATCACACCTAAGTAATGTGTTTTCTTTTAGAGAGATGTGATGAAAAGAATTAACCAAGATTGGGGAAGGGGTGCAACAGGTGGCGTGGTGGTTAAGGTGCTGGACTCCCACATGGCTAACCACTGTTCAAGTCCCAGACCTGGTGGCTTGAAAAAAAAACCATGCTGGGCACTTGTGTGTCTGTGTGCGTGCCCAAAATCTCAGGAGAATGGAGAAGGGATTGAGACATGGCCGCTCCCCCACCTGACCCCACCCTGTAGGTGATTTCTCACTTTTTCCTATTGATGTCTTTCTCTGGTCATTCTATGTACCCTATGACAAAAATCTAAAAAGAATACCAAACACCTGAGGAAACCCGAAACCCTGGCTTATAAAGAGTTGAATTCATGAGTGACCAAAGAGCCATCTTGAAATCCTTGGTCAGCTGTAGTGTAAAAAGGAATTTGAGGGGCCAGCAGGTGGCATGGTGGTTAAGGGTGCTGGACTCCCACTGTATGGCCAACAACAGTTCAAGTCCCGGACCTGGGGGCATGCTTTCTCACTTTCTTGCTTTCTCTCTCTCTGGTCAAATTTAAATAAATAAAGTAATTCCAAAAAAAAGGGAATTTGACTTGTCCTGGAATGCTCCAAGGCTCTATAACTGGTGGGTAGGAACTCTAGAGACACATTCTGTAGCTTAGAATATTGAAGAGGACAACGTTTAGCGTAGTGGTTAAGGAGCTGGGCTCCTCCCACAGGGCTGACCATGGTTTGAATCCCAGGCCTAGTGTCTTGAAAATCATGCCAGGCACATGTGAGTGCCCACAATCCCAAGAGCAAAATGGAGGAGGAGAAATGGATTGTGATTTGGCCACCTCCCTAGGGCTTTCTCTGTATTTCACTCTCTCTCTGTCTCTTTCTCTCTCCAGTAAGTGCACGTGCCCTATGGCAGAAAATTTAAAAAGATAAAATGTCAAAGTTATGTGCGAAACAGGCTACCTTAAAGTGTAACAAGCCCATGTTACTGGAGCATTAAAAGTGCACGTAGTCACTGTCTACACCGTGTTTAAGAGGCCTCTCATCCTTTCGTGGCCGTTTTCCTGGACGCTATAAAAGGGAAAAACAGTATCATATACCTCATTAGGTTGTTGAAAAGTACTTCACACAAGGAGAACTCTGAAAGTCAGATGATAACCTCCCTGAAGTTCTAAGATTCACTAGGACTAAATTATCAGTGGGCAATTCATCTGCCGTTTATAGATGACTGTGTTTTTTATTGCCGGAGGGCGTGTGCGCTACCAGAGAGAGGCAGAGTGAGAAAGCAGCCCCCAGTGGGGCATGGTTACACCGCAATCTCTTCCCCTGAACGTCATCCTGTCAAGATTTGGGGATTGCATGCACACATGCCCTGCATGGTTTTTCTTTCTGTCTTTTAAATAATTACTTATTTTAAAATTTGTTTATGTATCATTGTTATTATTTGAGAGGTTTTTGCTGTAGGGTGCATGCACTCACCAGAAAGAGACAGAAAGCGAGAAATCACCCCCCAGGGGAGATGGCCACGCCGCAATCCCTTCTCCCCCTTTCTCCTCTCGGGATCTTGGGCATGCACGCACATGCGCCTGGCGTGAGTTTAAGCCACCAGGTCTGGGACTCGAACCGCGGTCAACTACATGGGAGTCCAGTGACATAGCCATTACACCAACTGCTGGTCCCGGCAGGTCCAATATTTGAACTGCATGGTAAACCATGTGGAATTTGGTTCCTTTTTCTTGGAGAGGTCTTTGCCTTAGAGGCTGTGCACTTGCTGGAGAGAGAGTCAGACAGACACAGTGAGAGGGAAAGTGAGGAGTCACCCCGCAGGGGAGATGCCCACATAGCAATCCCTTCTCCGTTCTCCTGGGATCTTGGGCACGCACACGTGCCTCGTGTGAGGTTTTCTAACTTATTATTATTCTTCAGTTTGGCCAGAGAGAGACAGAAGGGGAGTGAGAATGCAAGCCACCAGGTCCAGGACTCAAACCTGGACTCGAACACGGTCGTCCATGTGGGAGTCCAGCACCTAAACCACCACACTACCTGCCAGTCCCAGGAATTTGGTTCTCTTAGCCACTAGGCCACTGGGCTGGTCCCTACAAGTTACTTTTTGACAGTATTAGTATTACCCTGGGTAGTGGCTTTGGCGTCAGCTGGCATCCTTAGACTGTCCTTGTGCAACTAGAACTTATCTGGTAACATGCAGGGAGCACTATTATTTCTGTACCACCGGGATCTTAGAAATTGAGGGGCCAGCAGAAGGCATGTTGGTTGAGGAACTGGACACTCCCACATGGCCAGCCCTGGTTTGAGTCCTGGACCTGGTGGCTTGCTTTCTCACTCTCCCTCTCTGTCATCTCTTTGTGTGTGTGTCTCTCTCTCTGGTCGAATTAAAATGAATGAATAAATAAAATTAAATAAGTAATTCTCTTAAAAAAAATTGAGATAGCAGTCCCACGTTGCAAATCCACAAGCCAAGGCAAGATAATGGGGTTATTGTAGGAAGGGTAAGGAAAAGAATCAAATCTTGCAGTCAGAGAACTCAAGCAGCACAACTTTTTTTTTAGAGATTTTTGCTATAGGGTGTGTACACTCACCAGAGAGACAGAGATAGAGAGACAGAAAGCGAGAAATCACCCCCCAGGAGGTATGGCCACACCACAATCCCTTCTCCATTCTCCTCTCGGGATCTTGGGCACACATGCACACGCACCCAGCGTGAGTTTAACTACATGGGAGTCCAGTGACATAGCCATTACGCTAACTGCTGGTCCCTCAAGCAGTGCAACTTTGTATGTTGATGGTTGAAAAGCAACAGCATATGGTGGTCTGTGAGGCTGTCCCACATGGGAAGGTTCTTGCCTTACGTCCAGAGACCTCCCTAAGTACACTGGGCACATGCTTGCCCATGATCCAGGGCTGGCTAGAGGTGGGGGTGCACTGTGGCTTGAAGGCTCTGTTGGGGTTTCACCCTCTCTCTCTCTCTCACGGAAGAAAGAAAACAATTTAGGAAAAGGAAGTTCTGGGGACCAGCAAATGGCATAATAGTTATGTTGCTGGACTTCCACGTAGTCGACCGCGGTTCGAGTCCTGAAAATTCACACCAGGTGCATGTGCGTGCATGCCCCAAATTCAGAGAGAACAATGGAGAAGGGACTGCGGTGTGGCCATCCCTTCTGGGGGTAATTTCTCATTTTCTGTCTCTGGCGAGCACCCTATAGCAAAAATGTCTCTTAAAATATAAATAAATAAGGAAGTTCCAAAAAGAAAAGTGATAGCAACTGAGATCTGGCTTATATTTTGCATACAAAAATCAGATGCAATAGCTCATCCTGAGCACAAAGCAGTCGCTAAGCCCCTGAAACCAGCTGGGAAAGCTGGGAGCAGGGAGACAGAGACAAGCCGACAGTGGGCTGCTCGCCTGCTCCTGGAAAACGGGCTGTGGAGACTGCCATTTCAGGGAGGGCAAGGTCGCCTTCAGCAGGGTTTCAAATAAAAGTCCGGAGGTTAAAAAGGACAATGATGTCTTCGCAATCAGACTTCTTTAACTTCTTGATTTCTTCACCCCAAGAGGAAAAATTGAGAGGGAGCCGTATGAGACTAGGATAACAGCTCTGCCTCTGCTAGCTGAGCGACTAGAAAAAGTGACTCGATGCTTCCAGCAGGAAGCAAGGTGGTTAAGGTGCTGGGTCCTGGGACCAGCGGGTGGCATGGTGGTTAAAGTGCTGGACGCTCCCACATGGCTGACCACGGTTCAAGTCCTGGACCTGGTGGCTTGCTTTCTCACCTTCTCTCTCTCTGTATCTCTCTGGTCAAATTAAAAATGAGTGAAAGAATGAATAAATAAAGTTAAATAAATAATTGAAAAAAATAAAAAAAGATGCTGGGTCCTACACAGCCAACTCTGCAGTTCGAGTCCTAGACCAGCCTAAAACACATGCCTGGTGCATGTGTGTGCGTGCCCAGAGTCCCGAGAAGAGAGGGATGGTGGCATGGCCATTCCTCCTGTGGGGCTGATTTCTCACTTTCCCTCTCTCTGTCTCTCTCTCCAGCAAGCATATACACCTATGGCAAACATCTAAAAAAGAGAAAAAAAAAAGTGACTTTAGTCCTCGAGTCTGTTTTCTCATCTGTAGGTAGGAATAATAATATTTTATAGCATTGTTGTAAGGATATATTAAGTATAAAGGGTACCCCGCACGGTACCTGACTCGTAGTAACCTGCGTCTTAGCAAAGCACGCTACTCTGGGGACGGGATAGTTAGAGATTTTTGCTATAGGGTGTGTACACTCACCAGAGAGACAGAGATAGAGAGACAGAAAGCGAGAAATCACCCCCCAGGAGGTATGGCCACACCACAATCCCTTCTCCATTCTCCTCTCGGGATCTTGGGCACACATGCACACGCACCCAGCGTGAGTTTAAGCCACCGCATCCGGGACTCGAACCAGGGTCGACTACATGGGAGTCCAGTGACATAGCCATTACGCTAACTGCTGGTCCCTCAAGCAGTGCAACTTT